CTCTACAGGCAAAACCTTTATCCATGATGACAAATGGATAAAGGTTTTGCCTGTTCGGAAAATGTCCGAATTACCTGCGATAAAATGGATTTCAATTTGTTCGCAATTTGTTCACGAACCTAGAGAGGCGACAACTATATACCGGTGAAGCTTCAGGAACAACGGGGATCTGTGTAACATATGCTTATTATTATATATATCAATTGACCAATAATTAGCATAGCGGAAATTTGAAATGATACTATATAATACATTAATTTTTTATAATGTGCAACGTAACTTTACAATACACGGCAAACATTCTGGCAATAAAAAGTAAGTGATAAACTGGATTTGAATTGGATCGGAACTTTGATCTCCAATTTAGAGAGGTAACAATTATATACTGGTGAAGCTTCAGGAGCAATGGGTTTTGTATAATATTTTGTTTAACAACAAATTTAAACAGTTAATGAATCCATATTATATATATATATAAATTTTTTAAAAAACAAATATTGGAAAGATTATTAAATTTTTGTTTGTGTTAAATAAATAACAAAAATGCGCTCAATATTTATTTCAGTCGTTTTTATTAAAAATGTGTTCACGAACAGTAAAACAATTGATGGTTCTGCTATTTACAGAGACATTGAAAACAATAGTTATGATGAAATTTTATTAAAGGTTACCTTGGAGGGTCGGAGCCTCTAATAGTCGAGTTTAACAAAAATTGTATTTTGCAAGTAACTGGATGAATAATCGTAGAAAATGGAACAGAATATGCATTTATATTTGTATTATAGTGTTGTAATTACTGTAACAAAATGTTAATTATAATTTTGTTATAAACAGCCGAACTTTATACAAAAAATTTTAATTGAAAAAGATTCAAATAAAACAGAACTACCAGAAGCTTCTCCGTTGATTGTTGTGTCTGCTCCCTACGTCGGAAATTCGTATAAAAAAATTGAAGATATTGATTGTTGGGTCATTCTACCTTGCAAGGAATTTTTTTAATAGTGTCACAGGAAATAAAATAACTCAAATGTACAGTTCACTCTCTCTCTATAACAGCCCTTTCTATAACGGCCTCCATTCTATAACGAACTGTAAATCGGAACCCAAATTTTTACTATATAAAAAACCTTACTCTATAACGGTTTTCTTAATTAATTTCCTATAGCTTATAACGGCCTGCCTCTGAAAATTCTCTCATGTGTTTCAATTTATCTTATTTTGTTATAATTCAATTCAGATTAATATATTTCAAAAATATATATATATACATTAATTCAAAATTCATCATTGTCTCTATTCTTTAACAAATAGTTGCATTTCTATTCGTAATACAAATTCGAATTATTCACTTCATTCGTTGTATTCGATTTATTTATTTGCTTTATTTGCTTTATTTGCTTTATTCATTTATTCAAATAATTCGAATAAACTTTCAATGTAATCAAATTGATAAATAATTTGAATAAACCTCCGATCCTGACGGTATTTAGACCGGTTAACTGACTAACTGGTTCCAACCTCTAATATTAATATTGGTGATATAAACAGATAGATAGACAGACAGATATTTACATCAACTTGATCTGAGTTATTTTATGGTTTATTTATTTTCACTTGAAATGGACCACCTTTGAATTTACTTTATGGCTTTCCGATTTTGTCATATTAACATCACTGTTATTACAATTTCTACCGCTGACACCATCAAACCTGCCTTGCCACAAATTCTTTGTTCTTTTTTTTTAATGGACTTATTACTGTCATTCAACAAAAATAATCATAAAGTTGCAGAGAGACAAAGAAAAAATCGTAAGTTACTGTCAGCTCCTTTAGATACTACACCAATTAAACGAATTACAATATTTCTAGTATCAATTATTTTGGGAGTAACTATGATTCGGTAAATGGAATTTCCTATGCCTGGGATCATGAAATTCAAATGCCGATCCCATGAATAGACTTGAGGTTTTTATAACCTAGCTTTTATAGATTTATAAGCAAAACTTACAGATACGGCAATAATTAAGATGCTGCTAGAAATACTATACGCTATCACTATACTTTGTGTTATATTCCAGTTTAAAATTCCTTCAAATTTGCAATTTACTCCTTCAGCTTTCTTTTCTGAGTCATCTGATCAAGTAATAATTGGGGAATCATCGATAACAAAAATCCAAATGAAAATATGACCAGGTTTTGATCGATTAATTCATTTCAGAAAAGATATATGATTTTGATGTTAAAGGCATTCGCCATAAATTTTTAGAATTTAGTGAAAATGATCACAATCACATGGTAATGTGGCATTTGGCAAATTTCATCACTTTAAAATTTCTTTGTGACATAATGTAATGTAAAGTATTAGAATATCCGTATATGAACATACACTATAATAATAGACAATTAAAATGCTTGATGCGTAAAAACGGTTTAAAATTAAAAATTATGATATAAAATAAAGGGTTAACATAATAAAAACTATATTTTTAATTAACAAATACTTGATGTGTAAAAATGTTAAAATTATATATAAATAAAAATTATCACATAAAATAAAGGGTCAACATAATAAAAACTAATCCTGGGCTTGGAAGAAAAAATAGTTAATACATTGTATTTTTTTAAAGAGAAAATTTCAAGGTTTTTTGAGTAATTGTTGTAATTGTTGTAATTGTGACATTATGATATCCATTTTCCCATTATTGATATCCATTTTTTTTTCTAAATTTGAAATTTTTTCATTAACATCATCATCATTGAAATCATCTAATTTATTATAAATCTGCCATAAAGAACCATCTTGATGGTCAAAATCCTTTTTTTCAAGAATGTATTGAATATAAGAATTTTCATTTTCGTATTTTGTGTATAAACAACCTCTTTTAGATTTGGTTCTTTCTTTCCATGAATCAAGATTATTATTATTATAACAAATGTATTTCGGATCAGGTTTAGGAGGATTTAAAAAATCATCTTCTAAATCCAAAGCCTCATAGTCTGATATGAAAGTAGCTTGGAGCTTGAGTAGTTCAAGTTTACTTTGCTGTGATGTGTTTTCATACACATTACTAAATAAAATTTATTTATTTACATTAATATGGAAATAATAATATCATTATTATTAAAACAATAAAATATAATTATTAATTACCTCATAAAAGCTATAAACATATTTTGTATAATGCTTACAATTAACAAGCTTGCAATTAAAGATAAAATTTGAACTGCAAAATAACTGCCATAAGTATCCCTATTTATCCAGTTACCATTAATCCAAAAATATGCAGCTGGAATTGAATTAAAAAAATTTGAAAATGGATTATCAATTGATGATGTGCTATCAAAATCTGCTTTAATTGTTATATCATTATATAATGTTTTATCATTTGTATTGATTATAGAATATGTATTCACATTTGGTACTAATCCTATATCATCTGGTTTTTGTAGCAATATATACCTATAATATAATATATTATTATTATATTATTTTAAAGAGAATGTTTTAAATTACAAATATACTACTTACATTGTATGAGCAAATGCCAATATAACAATAAGCATAAATAACAAAAGTGGCCAAACAGTTACCAAAAGATTTTCTGTGATTATAATATAAATTCCTACATCTACAAAAATTTAAATTTTTTTAATAAATTTTTATATTTATAAATAATATATATATATACAATGTACCTTCAAATAATCTAAGGTATGAAAGCTTTTTAAATAAACAATTAATTAATTAGTTAATTATTAATAATAATAACAAAAATGATAAATAACAACTTTACTTACAAATTCAATCCAAAGAAATAACACTGAAAAAGATATAGCAGCAATTGTTCCTTGATCAGGTTTAACACTACCAAATGCATCTTCAATTTCAAATGATTTAACTATTATAGATGTTCCAACTATTAAGGGTACAATAATAGCAATAATATCCAATATGTTGTATTTATCAGAAAAATATTTTCTAAATCCATAGTATTTTAATTGTCTGAATTCAGTTAATAAAAGATGATATCCTGTAAAATAAAAATAACTCATAACTAAAATTAAAAAGGTTCGAAGATTACTTGAACTATTTTGATATGTTGTATAGGCCCAAACTAAGATACCATAACAAACTGCATATTGTATAAAAATAAAAAAAAGTAATGAAAAATATATTTTTGCAGGTCTCCAACGAAAATTTATTAAAGCTTCTATTGCTGGATTATCAAAGATTAAACCTTTTCCATCCAATCCAATCATTTGAATAAATGAACTAAGTTTTTCTTCATCATCAATATACTTATGAGGAAGTATAAAACGTCTAAGAAAAGCTAGGAAAGTTGTAACTACTTTTTTTTTCTTTTCAATCTTATTAACTGTGAAATTTGGAAGTGGTACTACACACAAGTTGAATGGTACTTTAGTGTGTTTGTTTTTTCCTTCAGCTTTTTGAACAATTTTATCTTTAATTTCATTTGCTCTATTTTGATTATCTTTTCCAAAAGCTACTTTGTTAAAAGGAATTTTCTTTACACTATTTTGCAGGATGTTGCTTTCAGTATCTTCTTTAAGTTTAAAATTTATTCCTATACTATTATCAGTCAATTCTTTATCCAAAAAAAGTTTAAAATTTATTCCTATGTTATTACCAGCAAAACATTCTTTATAAAATAAATCATACACATAATTTTCTAAATGAGATTGGAAAAGTAAAGGTAAAGTTGTTGAAACAGTGATCATCCATCCAATATGTTCAATAGCATTGTTGGAATAATATTCTAATAAATAGCCTACAATTAAATTATCATTTTTTTCAGTGTAATAATTGATTGCTAATACTAATGCATTATTTTGAATATTTCCATTTCCATTTCCATTTTCATCTTCATTTTCATTTTCATTTTTATTTTTTTGCCATTGTTTAGCTCTTGGTAAATGTAAATGCAAGTGATTTGAAGTATTATAGGATGTTTTTTTAGTTGTATGTTGAATAATACTATTGTCTCCAATTTGATCTTTACCAAATAAAATATGCTTTATAAGAGAATTAACTCCACCATTGATAAGGTTTGACATAACCTCATAACGAGTATCCATAAGTTTCCATATTTCAGGTTTGTCTCTAATGAATTTCAAAATAATTTTTACAATAGATTCATACATTTCTTCAAATCTATGTTGTTTTTTATAGCTTACTAATAAATCTTTTTTAAAATTAAGATACTCAAGAGCCTTACAAGCATGTCTTATAGGTGTTACATATTGATCTGGATAAGGCCATTGGATTTTTTTGCTGATCACATCATCACCCCAAGTAACTTCCAGTTCAAATTTTCTACAACCAACTCTCAAATTCTTTATTTTTAAATGTTTGTGACCATCATGATTTTCATTTTCCACATCATTGTTATTGTTTTTTTTTTCTTTTTCAACATGATTAAGCATCCAAATATATTCAAGAACATGGAATTCATCAGTAACTTTACGCCATATTTGAACAGTAGTTAAACCAATAAATAATTGTAATGATCGATTTTCATCAATAAAAGCAGATGTTTTTTCATAATTTTTTCTATCAACCCATTGTTCCTTATTATTTACTATTGGTGTAATTTGATCAACATCAACCAATTTTTCCTTATTATCTACTAATAGTAAAGTTTTTGGACCACCAAGATCACCATGTTTTTCAAAAGGATCAAATATTTTATGTTTATCAGAATCATCTTCTGCACAATAATACCAATGATTTAAATATTTGTCAACTTTCATAAAATCTTTAAATACAGTAAATGATTTTTCTTCTTTTATTCCATCATTGTCATCATCATTTTCAAATACTTTGAATTCTTTGAATTCAATATTTTCAAGAACATTTAAGACTTTGCCATCTTCTTTAACAAAAAAAATCATCCCATTTGATCTTGCAATATTCAAACAATCAATTTTTTTTGGAATAATATCATTTTTAATTTCATATTTAAAATCTTCAGGAGAAGAATTAAAAATATCCCAAATTTTTATAGAGATTTCATGATTGGTGTCATTTCGTGTAATAATGAATAATCTTTCATCATCACGTATAAATTCTAGAAATAAAACTTCATCTTTGTCATCCAAACTTTTTAAAGCAATAAAAAGACCTGATTCCATAGAATAGATTCTAATATCTTTATTTCCACGTGTAAATGCCAGCAAAAGTTTGTTTAATGAAATTGCATAAGCAGGGGTACCATATTTTTGAGTTTTTAATTCTTCACGAGTAAAAAAACTTTGTTCTGCTTCCATTGTTAACATTGAATATAATTCCATTGTTTGGATTCTGTCTTTATATTGATTAAATAGAAAATAGTTTTTATAAATACAGGAAACAAGTCTTTCCAAACAAGGTATTTGTTTAAACCAAATTTCAATATCTTTTTTGAGTTTTGGTGGAAAAAGAAATCTTTTTAATTTTAAACTTGAATGAATATTTGGTTTATCTAAATTATCAAGAGATTTATGAAATCCTTTTACATTTGTTATTAAAAGACTTGTTTTGGTTTTTTCAACTTCTGGTAAAAATCTCACTATTCCACCAATATTACTAGTTAAACAAATTCCATTTTCATCAAAATTAATCTCATGATTGTTATTGTTACTTTTATCATCATCTTTATATTTATAAATATTACTTATATCTATATAAAAGATCACAGTACTAGAAGGTTGTGAATGCAAGGGATAATAAAATTCTTTCATATTTTGATATTTTAATTTGAGTTCTTCGTATTCCTTGAGTTTATCAAGTAAGTGTTTACTTGGTCTATCACGATCAATCATATCATTTGGTACTACTCTTGAAATTGCTACTAAAATTGTTGGTTTACCATTAAAAGAAATCGTATTTGATATAGAAAATGACCAAATTAAAAGTTTTCTATTGTCCTCTTTTATTTGTTCTTCTTGTTCTCTATTATCCTTTTTTGTTTGTTCTTGTTTTCTATTACCCTTTTTTGTTTGTTCTTGTTTTCTATTATCCCCTTTTGTTTTTTCTTTTTGTTTTATATTATCATTTTTTATTTTTTCTTCTTGTAGATCTCTTGCCTCTGAAGGTTTTACATATGGATTAAGTTCATCTAAAAACGTTAATTTTTTAACAATATCACAAATCTTTATTTTGTCTTGTCCTTTATCACTGTCACTATCATTATCATCATTATTTAATAATTCAAAATTTTCATGATGTGTAATTTTTAATCTTAAACTTTCATCCTTACTACAATCAAGCCTAGCTATATATTTTCCATCATCACTAATTGTAATATAATATTGATCTTTTTTTTTACCACTACCACTACTGTCATTACAAGTAATAATAATATTTTGTTTTTCAACTTCTATTATATTATCAAGATTATCGGTCATTATTACCAAAAAATTATTGATTTAATGACAATAATACACGATTAATTTTTTTTTTAAATTATATTTTTAAAAAATTTACAAAAGAAATCAATCCTTTTTATATCAATCGAATACATTGTTGTTACGCAACTTTCCATTATAATCGAATTCAATCAAAACGCTTTTTTTTTAATTTTCAACTGGTCAAGCAAGATTGTGCTTTGATTGGAATGTAACGTTGCACCCTACATTCCCTACAATGAATTTTAAACATTGATCACCAGTATCCTTAACGCAGGGTGTCACGTTACAATGTTTCTAACTTTGTAATGGATTATACTATTCGAATTTTGATAGTTTCCTAACACTAAATTTTAACCGCTTTGTTTCCTTTTTGGTTTGTGACATGAAACACTACCGCGCTGAAATTTCAACACTGAATGCATGCATCTCAGCCCTGAAGTTAAAATTAGCTATACTTGGATAACAACCCCTAATATTAACAATAGTGTCGATTTGTTACATTAAATCTTGAAAAATTGAAAAATAACAATCGAAAGAAAAATTTCATCACCAAACTCTAGCCGGTGATTTGATTTCGTGGTTCTAGCGATTCAACGATAAAAACATTCTAGCATTGTCTATTTGTTAGTGTACTATGCAAAGTGCCAATATTGACCAACCTATGTGTGTTTCAAGCGTATTTTGATTTTTATTTCATTAATATTACGCATAGTTAACTCCAAAGTCAAAAAACATAAAGTTAACACAACAACTCGTGTGTATGTCCTACATTACCAATATTGAAGACAATTTGAACGCGTTTTGAATTTTTTTTATTTTTGATGTAATAGTTTTAATTTGTGAAAATTTGTTGATAATAATTAGTTTCCACACCTCCAATGAATAAAAAATATATAAATTTAACATTTTTTCGACGGCGCTTATGTACTATGAATAACACAATTTTTGGTTACAAATTCACGGTTTTATGGCATTGTAGCATAATAATGATAATAATAACAGATATTTACTTCAGTATAATTTATATATATAGGAACATCAAACTTGATTCTTTGCAAAATAACTTTTCTTATTATATAACCATCTCGCTAACATTGATTAAAATTATCATAGCTATCATGATTGAGATACAAAATAACGGTGCACATAGAAACAAGTAAACAACAAATAAAGTGCATGATGCTCCAAAAATTTCCTTTGCTCTTTATTATTTACTATAAACAAATGGTGCTTCAACAATGGTTAATGAAAAACGGTTACCGAGTTCAACTCAATACCAAGAGTATATTTTATCTGTGATGCGTCATCTGACAATGTCTTCAAAGCTCCGGCAAAAGCAGGAAATCCCTTGCAGCGAATTCGTGTAATTATCACATTACACAAGCATCAATGTGGGAAAATCGTATTTTTTATTTATTATTATTATTTTTTTAATGATTTATTATTATTATTATTTATTATTTAAGATTTACATTTTACCGCTATTTTTTATATTAATAAGCATTTCCTTTCAAAAAGGGCATGGTTGTTTTCAACGTTAAAAATAATGAATCAATCTTTCGAATTGTTAACATTGACAATAATGATAATAATAAGCAGCAGGAGAGAATTTTTTTCGAAGAAAGCTTCGCCAATCCTTTCAACAATAACGGGGGGTTTTTTTTCACATTGTGAAACAAAGGTGTGGGTTGTTCAATATTAAAAATGATAATAATTGTTGCGTTTTTTCTTCACATTTTCAAAAAAGGCATGGTCATTTTTTTGGTATTGGAAATTCCGAAATCGAATCGTTACATTTTTCACACTTTCAAAAAAGGCATGATCGTTTTTTATTAATATTAATGATACAATCAAAAAAGTCAAGGATCTTTCAAAAAAAAGCTTGGCTGATTTTCATTAATTAATATTAATAATAACGAATTTCTTTGTTAGTATTTTAGTAGCAGTAAAAAGCTTAATTGATTTTTCTAACAATGATAGATGGATTAATTCAAAATTTTTAGTGGAGGGAAAATACTTACTTCTTCACATTTTTTGGAATAGATGGGTTTTTTTTATTTACATAAATTTTATATACATGATGGCGAAATATGATATGTTTATTTATTATTTGAATTCAACCAATTAAAATTTCCAAAATTAAATTCGAAATTCGAAATTAAAAATCAACTAAATTCATAACTCGAAATCCCAAAATTATGTCAAGCAATTCATATGCGCTGATTTTGTTTGATCCCCAAAATTCAGTACGGTATGATCATAACGTTATGAGTACTTTATACTACCAAAAACCCATTGGTTTTGAGGTGGGGCCATTGGTTTGACGGGCTGTTGAACAGTAAAATAGTTTTTTTAGCAAGCAAATTAATTTTTTTATGGTTAATTATCATTCTACTGACCAGTTTACACATTAAAAATCCTCGTGTTTAACATCGAGACACAACAAGACATAAGGTTTGAAAAAAGGCCCAAAAAACCAAATCGGCTGATATGTCTAATAAAGATATGCTGGCAAGTGTGATTCCACCTGTATATATTGTAATAATAATGGAACAAAAGGAAGTTCACAATTGATGCAAATGGATGCCTAAATTCACCTATTGAAATAAACCAATTCTATCTTGAAATTGTTTTGCGTAAATATCAAAATTATGATTTTTTGGATAAAGCAAATTCTTTGGCAACTTCTAATTCTTCAAATTTTCATACTAAACTAGATAATCCAATTAATTGGTGGTCTACATGTGAAGACGATTATAATCACTTACAAAAATTGGCAATCAAATTATTTTCATACAGTTGGTGCTGAACGAATTTTTTCTATTTTATGGGCAAGAAAGGAACAGTTTATCTACAAAGATAATTGAAAATTTAGCTAAAATTCATTCTTATTATGTTAATCATGCAAACAAAGGATTTAATTACTATGAAAAAGATATTACAGAAAGAGACAACCACTTTAATATTGCATTTTATCTTATGATGAGTTTAGGTGAATAATATGGATATATTAAAAATTGAAGATATTGTAAATTTAAAAATACCGTCATTAATGAAATCGCTTTAGAAAGAAGAATTGAAACGATGAATTAAGAATTTTTAGTAGGATTGGAAAATATATAATAAAGTCATTTAATTTGTTATCTGAATTCGAGTTTTGATTTCGATTTTCGATTTCGACAACTTGAATAATTTTTTCGAAAGTTTGGAATTTTATTAAATGAATTCGCCATCATGTACGAATATAAATACAACCTTTGAACATTTTAAAAAATTTAGGAGAGTATCAATCAATGATTATACAACACAGTCAAATTTTGTTTAACAAAAATTTTCCTTTTCTTTCGAAGGTTTCCAAAGAGAGATAGTATCTTTGCCAATTATTGCACTGATTAGTTGAGCTGTATTCTTTCGTTAATTAAATTTGGTCTCGTGATATTGTGTTACATAGTATGCAACTTTGAGGCTTGATCTCTCCATAGTAACGCGACATATCAACAAAATGAAACCATAACTTTGTACATAAGTAAAGGTCTTAGCTTCAAAACTACGGTTTTGTTTTTTTTTGATGTAATAAAGGAACTACAAGACTAAAAAAAATTTGTGGGACTAGGTGTATTGCACTATACGCCAATTGGACTCCAAGTAGTCCAAAGTCCAATAAAGTGATTGGACTGGCGATTTTGACAATACTACCCGGGAATGAGTACATCTTGGTATAAACGAGTCAACGACAAAGAATTCGACCCTTCTTCGAATGTGCATTTCATGATAGATGAGATACACAAGTTAGGTATAATGAGTACTCCAACATCACAAATAGTATACTAAAGTATGTGAATGGAAAGGAATTATGTAAAATTGTTCCTTGTCTCCAAAAAAGAAATATAAGAAGAATTGGATAACAGAATTAACATAGCAAACAGTATATTAAACATTCTCTCAAATAAAGTATTTTAGCCATATGGTAAAGGAAGAAGACCTCAAACATTTGACATTTGGGACCTTTTCCGGCAAAAACAGTCTCCGAGGTCACCTGATCAAGTTTGTGTTTTTTAACATAATAATAATATTAATCTATAAACATAAAGCTTGTTGAAAATATTAGACACTGTTTGTTTAATAAAAAAAAATGAGGAATTGTAGGTCGGATACCTTTTAATTTGCGCAAGTTCTAAAATTGAAACCCACTTCTGAGGTCATCTGACCGAACTTGTGTTACATAATAATCTACATAAAGATTTGCTTGGTAGAAAAAAAATGAGTAAAGGGTTTCTTCAAGTTTTATATCGTGTAACCAAATTCGCCTATATAAGACATGTAACGAAAATCATATTAATATAGTTGTTGATGTTCTTCTCTAATTCTTAATAAATCCGAATCTAATATAAATAAAACATTATTTAGTATTAGGGTCTTTTTGGATCTTTTACCCTATAAATTCATATTAATATATTAGGACTACTTTACCTAAATTTTTTTGCTATACCAAAAATAGTCACACCACTTATTAAAAGTATAGCAAAAACTTTATCAAAATCGGATGTTACCTCCATCTACAAATAATAATGATGGCGATTCTTTCCGAAAAGAATATAAATTGACGCAATAATATCAGCAGCAAATATTTTTCTTTAATTTTTTTTTAAAAAAAAAAAAGCTTTATTTAATTTATCCTCAATCCAGTACCACCATTGTTGTTTGTATTATTTTTTGATTAATCAACTTATTTAATAAACATGGCTATTCATAAAATTCATGCACGTCAAATTTTTGATTCCCGTGGTAACCCTACAGTTGAGGTTGACCTTACAACCGAAAAAGGTAAATATATAAATAATTAGATAATTAAATAATTAGATTAATTAATTAATTTGTTTTATAATACAAGTAGCAATAATAATTTTAACCAATTGGCATATTTTTAAAAATTATAACAGGTGTTTTTCGTGCAGCTGTTCCTTCAGGTGCTTCCACTGGTATTCATGAAGCTTTAGAACTACGTGATGGAGTTAAATCTGATTACGTTGGTAAAGGTAAATAAATTATCAAGCAATAATAATAATAATAATAATCATAATAATGTTTAATCTACATTATTAAATATATATATTTATATATTTATTTGCCCTAGGTGTATCAAAGGCTGTTGCAAACGTGAATCAGATAATTGCACCTGAACTTATAAAAGCCAATTTAGATGTTAAAGATCAAAAGGCTATTGATGAATTTATGTTGAACTTGGATGGTACTAAGAATAAATCAAAACTTGGTGCTAATGCAATTCTTGGTGTTTCATTAGCTGTTGCAAAAGCTGGTGCTGCTGAAAAGGTAATTAGTGATGAAATTACATATAATATATATATATATATATATATATATATATATATAGGTTTATAAGAATGAATATGAAAAAAAAAGATTATAATTTAATTTTTATTATTTATTATTATTATTATAAGGGAGTGCCACTTTATCAACATATTGCAGATCTTGCTGAAAGTAAAAAACCATTTGTTCTTCCCGTTCCGGCTTTTAATGTAATCAATGGTGGATCTCACGCTGGTAATAAACTTGCTATGCAAGAATTTATGATATTGCCAACTGGAGCAAAATCATTTTCAGAAGCCATGAAAATCGGTTCAGAAGTGTATCACTCTTTGAAATCAGTCATCAAAGCCAAATATGGTCAAGATGCTACTAATGTTGGTGATGAAGGTGGATTTGCACCTAATATTCAAGATAATAGGGAAGGTCTTGAATTATTAAAAGAGGCTATTGGAAAGGCAGGGTATACTGATAAAATTAAAATAGGAATGGACGTTGCGGCTTCTGAATTCTATAAAGATAGTGGTCATTACGACCTTGATTTTAAGAATCAAAATTCTGATAAATCTAAATGGCTCAAGGGTAATGAGCTTGCCGATTTATACAAAGAGTTTATCAAAGAGTATCCAATAGTTTCCATTGAGGATCCATTTGATCAAGATGATTGGGAGGCATGGAGTAATTTAACTGGATCTGTTGATATTCAAATCGTCGGTGATGATTTAACAGTCACTAATCCTGAAAGAATTACTACAGCTATTGAAAAGAAAGCTTGTAATGCACTTCTTTTAAAAGTTAACCAAATTGGCACAGTAAGTGAATCAATTCAAGCGTAAGTGTTATTTATTTTAATTAATTAATATATATTTATATTTATATTTATATTTATATTTATAATTTATGTTAAAAATAATTAACTGAAAAATTTACTTTTAGTGCTAAATTATCTCAATCAGACGGTTGGGGTGTAATGGTTTCTCATAGATCAGGTGAAACCGAAGATTCTACCATAGCAGACCTTGTTGTTGGTCTTCGTACAGGACAAATTAAAACTGGAGCACCTTGTCGTTCAGAACGTTTAGCTAAATATAATCAATTATTACGTATCGAGGAAGAATTAGGAGATAAAGCTATTTATGCTGGAGAAAAATTTAGGCATGCTCATCTATTGTAAAATCGTAACAAACATACCAACTAAATAATAATAATAATAATAACAATAATAATAATAATAATAATAGAGTAAATAAACATATTGGTTGCTTTTTATTATTTAATGTATGAAAAAAAGATAGCGAGAAATTTTCAATAAAAATTATTGATAATCTATATATATTTCATAAAATCATTGTTTTAAGTATTTAAAAATCATTTGAAACACACACTTCAATAATCGTTATTAAACCAATATGCCATTTTTTATTTTAATCTATGACTACTTGTAATTACATTATAATTATATTTACTAAAAAAAGTGTTTTGCGGTATTAAAATTAATAATATAATAACAAAATAAATATTAATACAATATTAATATTAAATGATGATGATGATGATAATAGTAATAATAATAATAATAATAATAATGGAATGCTTATAAAATTAAGTAATAATTATAATTATAATGATAATTATTATTATTATATTAAGTGTATATTGTATATATTAAATATCTTTATATAATTAAATTAATCCAATTTTACATTTTTGTATATAGTTCTAATAAATCTATCAGCAGTAAAATATCCAACAGAACCTAAAAAAAAAAAATTATTAATTTATTTTTTTTTTTTTAAGGGTGAACTATTATTATTATTGTTATCATTATTAACTAACTTACCCAACATAATAAACAACCCAAAACATACTATCGCAGTATTAGCAAAATAAAAGGATGTTTGAAATAAACCATACATTCTATAATAATAGCAATAAATTTGTTAATTAAAAATCAAAAAAAAAAACATTAAATAATAAAATTTCTACTACTTACTTTGTTTTATTGACAAAATAATATATTGAATAAAGATAAACATAAACAGCAGTTGAACCACAAGTAAAAAAGCTAATCCAATGCCTAAAAAAAAATTTTTTTGATAAAATGGCATTTATTAACAAAAAATCATTATAATAATATTATATATATAATGACAATAATTGTAATAAAATTTACCATCTATGATCTTCAGAGTTGAGCAGTATATATGTACTAACTACAGTAACACATGCTGTTACTATTAAAAGAATTATGAAAACAAATAACATAAATCCATAGACGTAATATATTTTGTACGCCCAAAAAGACGAAAAAATGAAATAGATCTCGATGAAGATGGACAGGAAAGGAAGAATGCCGCCCATGGAAAGAATCACAAAAGGTTCGACATACCTTTTTTTTGATAAAGTGAAAACAAATTGATCAAGTATTGTTCAACATAAAGTCAATATTATTCAATCAATCGATCATTCGATAATTTAATAATGGCATTGTCATTATTACTTACCAAACCTTTTCCGGTATTTGTCTTGGTATTGGATTAACACGACATGGAAAATCAGGCTGACTTGTCCAATTTCTATAAAGAATCGCTCCAAATAGCGTTAGCGGAAATACTAAGAATAACCAAATTGCAAACATTGCCAACTATGAGTAAATAACAAAAAAATAAAATATAGTTAGTAATTTAGTAATTAACAAAAAATTAACAGACAAAAAAACAACTTTTATTAATGAAGCATATAATAACCATAATAGTAAATGGTATTGCTCTTGAACTAGAGTAATAGACAGCAATTGAGTTTATTAATCCTGTGATTATGGTGACTGTTCCTGGCCATAAAGTAGCAGTAAGCATAACATTTTTTATCCAATTTCGTCCTAATTAAAGAAAAGAAAAATAGTTATTTCTATTTTTAATGAGTGAATGGGTAATATATAATATAACTAACTTATTTACCTCCGTAAAGATGATATATGCTAGCACTTGTATAACCAGCAACAGCTGATGTTAAAGTATAAAAAAAAATTGAAGCTGTCATAATAGTTGCACGTCTAATGATAATGAGGAGGATAAAAAGATATTATTGTTATTATTATTGTTGTTGCTATTATTAATTGTAAAAAAAATATTTTCTAATTTATATTTTAATTTATCGCGAGTGTTATTGTTATCTATCTGTCATACTGCAAATAAATTCCTAAATTTTGAAATTGGAGATGATATTCACTCTGTATATAAATCTCCGATTATTGTATACAGAATAATGACTAAAGTCAACCATACTAGTTGATGTCCAGTTCCAATCAATGCCGAGAATAATAATAACGAACGCGGTGCACGAAAGACATCACCATGAATTTGTTTCCAACCATATTCATCTCCGATATCGTGATCCTTTTATATTATTTTTATATTATTAACATTCGTTCGAGATTTTTTTTTTAAAAAAAATAAATAAATAACATATAATAAAAGCTTACCAAATCACCGATTTCTATTTCTTTATCATATCTTGCATAATCTTTTTTGATCATTCTTACCAATATTAAACTTACAAATCCGGTTAAAACTATAACCATAACAAATGAATTGATAATAGAAAACCAATGAATCTATGAGGAATTGAAAAATAATTTTTGTTAAATTATATAAATAATTTTTAATGATTAAATTATTTAATTAATTTAAACCTTATGTTCAAAAAATTCCATGTCTAACAATTTGTCAAATCTAGCATCAAAAGGATCATCTGTAGCAATCCAATTTACTGAGTAAGAAAATCTTATTGGGAGATCCTGATTTTCCCAATACAATTTTATCGGATTGTTACTTTCAAGTTTTACTTGAATAATCTAAAGAAAAAAGTAAAGTATATTTTAATGCTTCTCGTGATCAATTAAATTTTAATTATAAATAATATCTAACCAATATCTAACCTTATCCTCATTGTAACTGACAACGAAATCTCTGTGAGCATATAAAAATACCTCGCCCGAAACTTTATCAGTTTCACCAACAAATCCTAAACACAACAAAATATTAACTCATGATGATAATGATAATAATGATAATAATAATAATAATAATAGTGTATATATAATTTACCCCATATTGGTAAATCATCTGTTTTTTTTTTTTTTTTAAAAAAAATTATAAATCAAAAAATTAGTTAATTATTAAATAAGAATCCATAACAAATAAATAAATATTATATAATATACCTAAAAACATTTGATACCAATAATTATTTGCTACAGCATATCGAAATAAATTTATGTCTTTTGCTGTTAATTTTGTCTCACAAATTGTAGAATTTTCCTCATTTACTAATAATTAATTGGAAGTATAAAATTTCAATTTTATGGATTTGATTATATGTTGATTATCATAAAAAAGGTTGTTATATATTTTTTCTCAAATATTTTTACTTTACTCACCCAAAAATTTCATTCCAATCCCAGAATTTATTAATTCCATTCCTAAAATTTTTACATTTTTAAATTAATCAGATAAATAAATTCATTAAATATTAATAATAATAGTAATACTAGCAATAATAATAATAATAATAATAATAATAATAATAAATAATATCTTTGATTCAATATATATATTTGCTTCTTATTAAAAATAATATTTTTATTAAATATTCTCTACATGAATTTTTATCATTTAGATTTTTTATAACGTTGATTTATTATTATTATTATTATTATTATTATTATTATTATTCCCAAATACCTAATAAAGCCTCTCCTAATGTCTCATGATGATGTTCTAGAAAATAATCAAACAATTAAATATATGATTGATTGATTGATTGATTGATTGATTGATTGATTGATTTAATAAACAATTTCACGTTAATTTTTAATTTTTAAAGTATTCACCTGAAACATATATTCCTTGACAATAAGGTAATTGAAAGTACTCATATGTTTCTTGCCTATTTGAGTATGGCCCAACTGTATTTGCCCATATTATTATATCTTCTTTTTTTTCATACTAAGTAGTATAATATACACAATATATATAAATATATGCATAAATTGATAAAAACTTTGATCTAACAAGGACTTACTGTATGTGAATGTTCGTCAGCCAATGAGTTTGTAATGTATAATAAAATAATTAAAAAGAATGATAATAGTTTATTTATTTTCCAAATGTTCCCCATCGGAGTAGATTGTATAATTATTAAAAATTTTGTGTTGATATTATATGAATTTTTAATTTGCATGTTGTTTATATTGCGATCTTCATTATTTACCTTAATGCATGTTAATCGGTGCGCAAAAATTTTTTTTTCAACGTATGTTGCATTTTATCAACCAACCAATAGAAATTGTTATAAATCGCATGATATGTTCGTACAATGCATTAAAAAATTTTTATGTACGAATTTTAATGAAATATATATTAGATATTTTTTTGTCAATATTTAATTGATTATTTGCTTACATGTTAAAAATTAACTAGATATCCTGAAAAATTTGTTTGTGATTTTGCCGAGTTTTATGTTTTTTCTTTTCATATATTATACCAGTAATCTCTAACTTTACTGGATGTTCCATGAATCCCATGAGTCATGTAAAAATATTTGAAACTAAATACAGAAATACTTGATCAAGTTAAACTCATTAGGAAGCTAAAGACTCTACCATTCAACATTGTTATGAAAGTTTTAATGCGTTGATAATTTAAAATATCAACCAATTTACAATAGACAATAAATTAATATTTGCTATTAGAAAGTTGAAGTTCCATCATTCATCATACTAAAAATTGCATATTGTTATTATGCAGACTTTAAAGATCATCATCATCAATTTAAAACATCAACCATTCACATTAAAATTCCTTGATTTTTTTAAATTTGATTAATTAATTAATAAAATACTGAACTGATTGAAATGAAAATACCATTATTATGATGACATTCTGTTCTGATGTATGTTTATGTGTTTGCTGAATTATTGTTATATATTCTTGTACTTCAGATTTACTAATTTGTATTAAATACAAGATTAAATATATTCATTTATTAATTCCTTTTAACCCATTAAATTATTATTATTACCTTTAGCTTTCTTGGACATAAACATATCACCATTCATAAGGCTGATTTTATGGTGATAGTAATAGTTAACCAAAAACTCGCCATTCTAGTTGAATTAAAAAGATACACTTGATGGACAAAAAATTTCTTTTGAATTTATTTCAAAACCATACTAATTAAAGATTTTAATCTTTATATCATTCGAAAACTCTTGTTCTTGATAATATGTTCATATATCAAATTTTGAAAGTTTGTAATGAAAATAAAAAATAAAAAACAATGTAAAAATAGCGAAAATGTTGATATTTTTTTATTTTTAAACCAATTTAGAAAAATGGGAAAGAACTGTGGACTTAAACTTAATTGACAGTATTCCCCCAAAGAATTGAAGATTGCATTGCAAACAATGGCTGGACAACTAGATATTAAATAATTTTTTTTTGAGATGAAGAATAAACTTTTTTTACTTATCGATATTCTGTTATTTTTACATTGTTTTTTATTTTTTATTTATCATCTTTTTTTCATATAAAACTTCGAAATTTGATATCATGAACATATTATCAAGTACAAGGGTTTTCTAATGATATAAAGATTACAATCTTTTAATTAGTATAATTTTGAAAAGAAATTTCGGATGCAAACTTTTGTCCATCAAATGTATGCATTTTTCTAAAAAATATAATGTGAATTTTTCTATTGATAAAAGAACTCTTCCATAATTTACCATCATTTATTCTAATCTTAGAACAAAGCTTATGAGTAAAGAATCATATGCTTCCATTGTCCACACCTCATTTGACTACTCACCAATCCGATGATGTAGTATTATCATGAGTTTATTTATCACGAGTTTATTTAAATTTGTTTATGCTCCCGAATGATTTTATCATTTATTTATCTAATATTAGAAAGATCTGCTAAAGATCTATAAAAGTTCGGTATAAAAAATATATTAATATTATTAATATTAATATGAAATTCACATTAAATGTTTGTTATACAGATAACAAGGCTTATTATCATTATTATTATTATTATTATTATATAACTTGTTGAAAATACTTTGTTCGGTATAACGAAAATCCGTTATAGCAATGACCGTTATAACGAAGTTCGACTGTAATACACAAAAAAGTATTTTTAATCATGTGGTTTTACAAAAAAATTTAAATTGTTTTATAGCATTCCTACTAATACATTTGTCTACTACAAATTTGAATCGAACTTTCTGATTTTGTTAATTGTTTGTTTTTCTTTTTGTCCCATTGTTCTTCAATTTTAACTGTTACTCTTGGTCCACTTGTATCACAATGATTTTCTTATACGTCCATGCAAAATGCATAAAAATCATTGTCCCTGCTTCCCCTTGTGTCACTTGATGTACAGATAACCCATTGTCATCTTCTGCCATGCTAACAATGTTATCGTTTTACAAGCAAGATATTTCCCACGATTTTTTTTTAATTCAATTTTTACAATAAAAATAATAAAAATGACTTTTGAAACTACCGATTTCAAAAAAATGCCTGATGGCTTTGAATCTGACAGAGAATCTTTGCATTATCTTACTCCAAATAAATCACTAACATCGCTTTCTGAATACTCCTCATCTGAAGAAGAACTTGGCGCAACCACTAACCAACCATTAATACATAATGATGCAGTTTCTTTGCAACTTCAACAGTATCAAGGTGATATGGCAACACCTGGTCAGTATAAAATCAAAATTTCTTTTTATCATTTAAATCGTTATACATATATTGCTATTGTTTTATTACAACCACTAATAATATAGTTATACTTGGCCGTTAATAATAATATTATTATTATTATTAATATAGATTTATCACAAGTACTGATTATCTATACAGGTGGTACTATTGGAATGAAGAACTTGAAAAATCAAGGCTATGCTACTGTAAGTAATTGGGTGCTCTTTTTTAATAATTTAATAATTTTTTGTTTAGTTAGGAAATAATCTATAATTCCATGTACAAACAAAAACAGGTACCTAACTACCTTACTGAAACGCTTGCAGGAATGTCACGGTTTCATGATCATCAATTTGTTAAAAATCATCATCGTATTTCTCTTAAACCAATAATGGATCGTGCTGAAGATGATGATAATTCAGATAAAAATAAAGTTATCATTAAAGATTGTAAAACTGGTGAGATTGTAGAGTTTTTTCAACGTAGTTTGATCACTCCAATTTCATTATATGGTAAAAGAATAAGGTACTGTGATATTGACAATGATTAAAAAAGAAATTCAATCTCATAATTTTGTTCTAATCATTAAATTTTGATATTAAGATATTCAGTTTTTGAATATGAACCTTTATTGGATTCTTGTAATATGTCGAGTGATGGTAATTTTTTAAAAACTTGTCAAAAATTTTTTTTGAAATATCCTATTTTAAGAGGAAATATTTGTTTACGCAATCTTTTTTTTTATTAATAATTGTAAAGATTGGGTACGGATAGCCACTGACATCGAATTGAATTATCAATCATATGATGCATTTATTATTTTACATGGTTAGTTTTTTTTTCTTCTAATAAAAATTTTTCAAAAAATATTTAATTTGATTTATGATTGATTTTATGATTATAACATAAAATAAAAAGGCACAGATACAATGGCATACACAGCTAGTGCACTTAGTTTTCTTTTGGAAAATTTGGGGTAAAAATTTTATCAACTATAATATTAATATTTATTTAGCATTTACATCATTTGATATTGTTAATTAATTAATGATGAAAATTAAATTTAGTAAAACCATCATTCTAACAGGTTCACAGGTATTAAAACTAATTATAAAAAAATCTATTTTCTTGTGTAAATCATTTAAATAATCTTATCTCATTGTAAATACATAGGTTCCTTTATCTGAAGTCCGTAATGATGCAGTTGAAAACCTTTTAGGTGCTCTTACAATTGCTGGTCATTATGTGTTACCAGAAGTTACTTTATTTTTCAATAACAAACTTTTTCGTGGAAACAGAGCAATTAAAGTGGATACAGTGGAATTTGATGCATTTGCTTCACCAAATCTTTCTCCTTTAGCAACTGTTGGTATTAATATTAGTAGGTTTTTATTTATATTTATATGCATATGTGTACCAACAAATCAAATAAATAAATCATTCATTCTCTTTTCAATTTAATAGATGTAAATTGGGCAGAAGTTGTTAGACCTTTTGCAATTGCAAAATTTAAAGCACACAAAAATCTTAATAGAAATGTTAGTAGCTTAAGATTATTTCCTGGTATAACAGAAACTACAGTAAAAGCTTTACTGGCGCCACCCATTGAGGGTGTTATTTTAGAAACTTATGGGGCTGGAAATATACCAGATACTAGAGATGATATAATGAACGCTTTGGGTGAAGCGAGTGATAGAGGTGTTGTAATTGTTAATTGTACTCAATGTAAAAAAGGTTTTGTGACTGATATCTATGCCACCGGAAAAGCTCTTTCAAGAGTTGGTGTTGTATCTGGTAACGATTTGACACCTGAGGTAAGTGTCGTAATAAATATATATATATCTATATCCACTTTATAAATAAACACAACAATCAATTGTTTTTATATATGTGTTTTTCTTTGATTAAATAGTGTGCTTTAGTTAAACTTTCATATTTACTTAGTGAAAATGAAAACGGTACAAAAATTTCACCCGAAACTGTCAGAAATTTAATGACAAAAAATCTTCGTGGTGAGTTAACAATTTTATCACCAAGACCAAGATTTACTTTTCATAATCGTACACACAAAATTATACAAAATATGATATGTAAGAATTGTTATTATTATCTTCATGTTTATTCCATACATAAATATATATAAATATACTGAATTTTTTTAAAATTAAATTATAATATAAATTTAGATGCAGCTTCTGATTTGAAAAAAAATAGTACATCAGATTTGGCATTAACGATAAATGTTCAGGAAAAGGTTTTGATGGAAAAAACTTTATATCCTATATTATTGTGTTCAGCTGCTGGAACAGATGATCTTGATGGAATGTTGTTATTATGGGAAAGTTATGAAGGTTTATTACTTAATTGTATAGATTATGATGGAAGAACCCCTTTAGTAGGTTTCACTGACTTTAAAATGTACATTATTATATATTATCTATACTGTTTATTTATATAAAGATAAAAAAAATTTTTTAAAAGCATATTGCATGTTCATGCGGTCACCAACGTATTGTAGACTTTTTGCTACATCATGGTGCCTCAGTTCATATGAGAGATAGATTTGGCCATACACCTCTATTTGAAGCAGCAAGAAACAAAAATAAGCATATAATCAAATTATTACGTGAAGCTGGTGCGCATTTTAATGATGCTGAGATTGATGATGTGATGTTTCAAGCATTATCGTAAGTAATAAAAACTTTTATATAATCTGTTTTTTATTTAATAACAATTATTATGCTAAATATTTTAATTATGTCTGTCTATATGTTGTATTAAAAGTGCTGCATCAAAAAATGACGTTGAACTATTAAGACATTTTGTGGATTCTGGAATGGAAATTAACAGAACGGGATTTGATCGTCGTACAGCATTACATCATGCAGTAGCAGAAGGGAGTTTGGACACTGTTCAATATCTTTTACTATTGCCCGAGTTAAACATAGAAACAAAAGATCGGTGGGGAAGAAAACCTATTGATGATGCTGAGATGAACCTTGGACGTATGTGGGGAAGAGATTGTGATAGAGAGAAACAATTTCGTGAGATTGTTAGATTATTAAGAGAGAAATCTGGTGATGATGATGATCATTTTAAAATAATGAATAATAATAGTTTAAATAGTAGTAGTAATAGTGTTGGTGTTTTTGGCCAAATATGATTGGATCAAACAGTTCAAAAAGTCATCATCGATAATGGTATAATAATTTTGGTGAATGATGACGGAAAATCAAATATAAACAATAATAATATTGATGCTGGTTAAACATTTGATTATTAGAATTATTTATTTATATATACAGTATAGATTAATTTTGTAGCTGGTAGATTAATTGATTGATCGAGTTGTCATGTTATGAAAGAATAATTATTTGAGATTGTTGTGCCATTTATTTATAGAAATTTTCCAACTTTGTTCGTATTATATAATTATAATTTTTTTCAAATTGAATTTATATATATTATTTTTATTAATTTTTAATACAATAAAATTCAATGTGAAATGTTAAAATTAAATATAAAAAATCAAGATGACGAAAATATAAAATTCAATTTTATTAAAACAAAAATTTAATTTAAACATTTTTTTTACATTGTAAATCATGTTTCTTGGTTGGATACTTGATTTTTGTACGCAAAATTTTAGTAGGAATTGCTGCTTCACATCTATTGCTGGTTTCATAACTTTCTTCAAAATCTGT